GCATTTTATTTTATTTTTTATTTTATTTTTTGCATAAAATATTGATTATTCAAATAAATATACTTTATTTTCTTAAATAAATTATGAATATATTTAAATAAATACTATACATTTTTATTTTATTATTCATATACATAAAATATTATTTCCATACATATTTTAATTTTTAATATTTGTTAATAATATTAATTAATATTTACTTGTATAAAAAATGGACAAAAAATAATATTAGAAAACAATATTTTATCTTTAAATCAAAAACTAGGGTTTCCCCTTTTCAAAAAATAACCATATTATTTTTCCTCTTTTTTAGGGTTTAATAAATAATTTTTTACATACATAAAATAAATACAAAAAAAAAAACATTTTGTATCCATTTTATTTGCATATTTAAACAATTGTATGTTTATTTATTTATTGTGCAATAATTCAATTTGGTTGTAATAATTTTTAGGGTTTTATTTTGAGCAATATCCCCCATTCAAAAACTTGTATCCCCCCTCCCATAATATTGTTGTAATAACTTAGATTTACTTTATGCAATTTATCGCATTATATCCATGTTTAGTAAATTAGGGTTTGTATGATAAAACAAAATCAAACAAATAGCATGACCTAATACAAGACAAAAATGCATGAAAATGACAACACATTGCACACAACACCCCTAGGGTTTCACCCACTTGGTTGCCTAAATAAAATGGTCATGATATGCACGCTAAGTATCTTGGCAAAATCAATCAAAACAAAAAGATCATAGTCCCTCGATGACGCTATCAAAAGGTTGCCTAAAACAAATGATCTTAGTCCCTCAAAACATGCTAAGATACTTGGCACCATTGCTATCATGGTCATACGATGACCCACGCCCGTCCCGTTTAATATCCAAAGATAGGGTTGTCTACCAAAACAATGGTAGGTCAACAATATCAAAGGAATAAAAATGTACAAGAAAGACTTTTGAGTAGGTAGATAAGCTTTTAGTTACTTGATCAATTTGCAAACAATCCTTGCTATTTTCAAACAAACACACACATTTCAAAAACATTTCCAAACACCTTTCAAAACATTGAAACATTTTTCAAAAGACAAACATCTTTGTATACATTCTTACGAACGAGAATCATTTCAAAGATTACCTAAACGATGACCTATTTTCAAAATACTTTCAAAACCACACAAAGCACCATTTCAAACAATTGCAAAAGCAAAGCAAGTGATCTAAACAAGTAACTAAGAGCCCATGGAAAACCATGGATGAAAAGGGTGCTATCACATTCCCTTTTCATAATCTACCCCCCGAACTCAAGAAAACATCTCAAAGGTCTTTCCTGTGCTTTTTTACCTTTCCTTTTGGATAAAAGAAAAGTCGGTGACGACTCTTGCTAACCGCGACATTTGCAAACACAAACGCAAAACCTCAAGTCAGTTCTCCCGCCGCATCACACTATGGCACCGAGGCGGTCATCCTCATAGAGATCATGGAGCCATCTAGGTGAACGGAGATGCCCATTGACAAGGAAATGAACGACGAGGCCCTGAGGGATGAGCTCGACCTGGTCGAGGAAATCCGATCGGGAGCAGCCCTACGCGAGGCCACTTTGAAACAACGAGTAGCCCTACGCCATGATGACAAGGTCATCAGACACGAATTCCAGGTCGGCAGCCTAGTCTTGCGAAGGAACCAGAAAGATTCCCGAGAAGGAAAGTTGGCCGCAAACTAGGAGGGACCTTATCACGTCCAGGGCGCTACGGGCACCAGAGCATATTATCTCGAGCAACTAAACGGAGAACCATTACCACAACCCTGGAATGCTGCAAAGCTGAAACAATATTATAGTTAAAGCCCTCAACAAATGAGGGCGTTCGCCGTCGAACATTCACCTTTAGTCGACAAAGGGAAAATCTCGACCACGTAGGCGAGTCGAGGTACAGACCTGACCTACCAACCAACGAGAGCATAATGTCGTTCACTTTGATGAACCAAACGAACATGCTCGACAAGGACACCTCGATCAAGCTCCACTGTCGAAGTACCCCACATGGCAGAACACCCAGCTCACGATGGGAAGTTCACGCCACGGGCATAGGACCCCAATCACGGTCATACGCTCGACACGCGGATTCCACTCCACGTATTCGACACATTTCAAAGTGCGTCGAACCGTCATAGGGGTCGAACGCATATCTCCACTAGAATACGAACTTTGCCGAAGAATTCATTATCAAAATAACAGTTGAGCATATACCTAAAATACTATTGGGTAATTGCAAACAAAGCATTCGTCGAACAAGAAATCATAAGCAAGGATTAATAATATACCGACCACAAGGGCCGGCGATATCCGAAGTTACAGTCCAGGCACGACGGCCAAAAAAACTAAGAATAAAACGGTCACGCTGGCCCCAAAAACAAATACGGGTACGCAGGCCCCAAAAAATAATAAACGGGCGCGCAAACCCAAACACCAACAAAGTATCAATTAGTCCCCGGAGTGCTGACGTCGAATTCAGGAGAGTCGGGGGTAGGCATAACCCGGACATCGATGATCTGGGATAGAACTCCAACCCCGTTAGTGTTCAAACCCGGATTTAGCACGGACAACTGACTCACCACAACCTCAAACCCATCGGCCAAAGCGCCAACGCAGTCCGAATCTAGGAGTTGAATGTGAGCAATAAAATCAGATCGCGTATGTAAGTCAGCCATCCTCTCTGGTTCATCCTCAGCGGGCAGCATAACGGCTTTCAGGTCCTCGACCTCTCTCGACAGCCGCTGGTTATCGCTCTCCAAGCGTTCCTTATCTAGCTGAAGGCAATCCCTTTCTTAGAGAGCCCTGTCAGCCCTTTCCTTCTCCCTCGTCAACACATCAGACTGCTCGCGAAACATCTCCTCAGAGTGTTCGAGGGCAGCCTTCAGTTTGCGGGACTTGGCCGCGAGAGCCGCCTTCTCCGACTCCAGCTCTCTGACCCGGTCCATGGAGTCTGATCCTTCCCCTGCGAGGACAACCGCCATCTCGGCCATTTTTACCACCCCGACCATACTGGCAGCGAGGTGCTTCCTCTGACCTTCCTTGTCAAGCCGCCTGATGATGTCGGCCTCATTGTCGGATACGGATAAGGGAAACCCCTCGAAGAAATCCTTCTCCACGAAGCAGGGTGGCAGCCCGAAGGCCCGGGCACTTGCACCTCTGTCAGTCACTTCGACCCCATCATCTGGTCGGCTCTTCCTCTTGCTGATAAGAGCAGATTGGCGCTCGGCGTCCCGGGAACCCGAGGACCCGCTAGATCCTTCCTTGCTCGTGTTAGGAGGCGGGCCCATCCGCGTGGCTTGTTGCGGCCTCACCAATCTCTTGCTGATTTTCTTGTCTTGGGTTAACTTCAGCAACCTTTCGCGACGCTCCGCCATGTGACCTGCAAAGGAAGCGTACTTGGGTTAGCTACGCACATTAAAGAAAGAAAATAAAGAGGAATGTCAATAGAGCAAAGCAAGAAACCTAAGAGGTATACGGCTTGCCCGTAAGATTAGCACTCGACGAGCGCCTTAGTATTAATCGGGTGCGCCTCGAATGTCGGATAGCCATCCTCATCGAGAACGTCGTCACCTTCCCGCGTAACCCACCGAGCAGGAAAGAAGCTGTCGACAAACTTGTTTAGGACGCCATAAGCTTTCTCATCCTCAACACTCATACCCCCAACAGGAGTGTGGTAGTATCCAGGACCATGGTCGTAATGGCCCGAACACCAGTGAATGGGAAACCTAGAGACTCTCATAATCTCGGGGTTACCCTCAGCATCCAAACATGGCTCCCCATCCTCGTCCACCACAGCGGCCGGTTCGAACAACAAATCTATGGTTGTCGGGGTAGACGGTTGCAAAATATACCACTTGTCCTTAAAATCTCGCACATAATCCATGTACATCCTAAACAGTCTCTTCGACTGCTTAAGGGACACACAGCTGTGCTTCCCTCCTCGGGACTGTCGTTGTAAGTGGAAAACCCTGAAGAACAGGGGGGTCGTCGCCCCAATCCTGAGGAAGAGACAAGTGAGTTCGAATGCCCGGAGAAAGGCAATCACATTGGGATGAATTTGGAAGGGGGCCAGGTTCAGATGGTTGAACACTCTGACCTGGAAGTCATTGAAGGGCAACTGGAGCCCGAGATCTCTGAATATGATCTCGTACATGGGAAATGCATCATATGTGAACTCCGAACAGATACGAGCATCCCTCGTCGACCTCATAATCCTGAAGTTCCTTTGAAATCCCTCTTGACCGCCACCATACTCGATGACGGTGTAAGCTTGTCTATTGGAAAGGCTGTAGATCGAAGCTATTCCCCGGGGCTCCGCATCGACCCAATCCAGAGTGGGGTCATCGACGGTGTCGACCAGGGTGATAGTTTCCTCCGTTGTGCTTATTTCCTCAACATTGTTATGCCCCGAGGACTTAGGAATGTCGACCATTTACTTGCAAAGTACAGGAAACTAGTGAATTCGACAGCAAATCCGCTTGTCCGCCACAAAGACGGGGAGAAGTAAGCAACACTCAGACCGAGTCTACAATCATTCGTACAAAAATGGGAAACAAGTGGACCTCGACAAAACACCGACCTCAGCAGCGGACGTGTGTCAATCATGAACGACGCGAGCACAATATGAATATCATAAGCGAAGGATGAATCCTGCGGCCAAGTTCATAATGTTTTCTGGCCCAGTACAAGGATACTACAGGGAAAACTAGCCTACATATTAACGAAAGGATGAATCTCCCGACCAGGTTCATAAATCTACTAGCCAAACGCATGAGTATCACGGGCACGATCATAAACTGTATGCCTAAACTTATGAATATCTCAGGGACAACCATGAATCAGGCGCCCAGCGCGCTAAAATTTATGGGGCACTATCCCCAAACACGAGATTCTACCACTAAAATGCCATCAAATCTATCTACAACACGAGATATCAAAAGGAGAAAACACTTACTTGAGAGAAGAATGAAGAACGACAGTGGTGGAGATGATCAGACGGCTAACGACACGACGGTCTCAGCGACGGTAGGAAAATTCACGAGATTGAGAACATATAAAATATGAGAAGCGAGAAGAAGTGAGAACAAACTATGGGCCCTGGAACCCTATTTATAGAGATGACGTGGAATATGAAACGTCACGCCGGGTAACCACAAGCCGCCCCCTTCCTCGATGTCTACTCGCATAGACAATGATGGCCCTATTCCCTAGATCAGCATTGTGGTTTCCAAGAGCCGTACCACGTGTCTGACTGACGCGTCACCATCTCCCCACAAAAGTTCCTCGAACACTCCTCGATCGCTGCACGAGAAAATCACAAATCGGGCGATGCCTTTTCTCCCCGGTTGAAATCCCCTGTGTCGCGCAAGCAAGTCTCGCGAAAGAGCGAATTTGAGTCAAGTCATAACTCCCGTACCAGGAGCAACGACTTGGGGGGCTCCTGTTCTGGACTGGGCCTGACTGTGGCCCAATCACCAGCGAGGCCCAATCCAAGCTTACAACATACCATGCTGAGCATTAGATTCCCTGGCACGCCCCGATCACGGGAGACTGGTTGAATACGACTGTGCCCGTCGGTGACTGCGAAGAGTGTCCCCGACGAGGGACGTCCCAGACGAGGGACGTCCCAGACGAGGAACGTCCCAATTCAAGCCCTGCTCGAGCACCCTCCTCGTAGGGCAGACTCTCAACCTCTCTGAATATCTCGGAGTCCTCAGGGTCTCGGGAAGATCGCGTCTTCATCCTCCCTATTCTGCGGAGAGTATCATCCAGGTAGGGGACCACGTGCAGGTCCCCACTACACACGTAGAACCTGGAAGTCCCTTTGTTGAGCCTGTTTGGTCAGCTCAATAAAGGGACCTTGGCCCAGCGCTGAGGGCTATAAATATCCTATATTTCGAGAGGGTCAGGTATTCATTTCATACACATCAATATACTTGCTTGCCTGCTCATTCCGTCTCTCACTTTGTCATCGGAGTGTCTTGCAGGTATCCCCCATCTCCTTCAAATTCAATTCGAAGCCAGCTGTGACGGTCCAAGTCTGATCAGGTACGATCAAAACTAAAGGAGCATGGTAATGGTAGAAATTTGTTAACTTTGCTGAAATGAAAAAGAGAATGAAGAGGGAAATGTATGAGCGTGAATACTCAAACATAAGCGTCTGAATTCCAATCTCCGTAGGAATTTCAGACATTGAAATATATTATTTTAAATGTATTTTTGCTTGGTTCTAAGATTAGGCATATGCTTGATGTGTTGAGACGCGCCTTGAATTAAATTTGCTTTGACGTGTTTCAAAGAGAGCTTATAATGTATTTAGTACGTCTGAATTTTAAAATTCAGATTTTAAAAGCATTTTTTAAATATCGCCAGGTGTCTGAGTAACACAAGATATGAAGAGTAAAAATTCCAATATGAATACCGCATGTTTCATAATGCAGAAAATTTTATAAATTTGTCAACAAAAAAAATTTTATAATTTTTTCAAAAATGTAAATGAAGTAAAATTGATAATTATTTAATTTAATTTACTATAAGAGTAAGAAAGTCTTTTCATATCAAATGTAGGGGGTGGGAGATGCAGCTCTATGGGTGCTAGTAAAAAACTCCTAGTACACAAACAACAGGGCCTAGATTCAGCCCACGCGGTCAACCCGTTTTCACGGCCTTGAAACGTAACTGCATTTCGAAAAAAAAAAACCCAAAGAAACGAACCGCACGAATCGATAAATCGCAACCTCCTACGAACCTATCTTCTCTCCTGCTACGAAACCCTCCCTCACCACTTCTGCAAGTTGCACCATCGTCGCAACTGCCGTAACCACCACCGTAGCGGCTGAGGAAGCCGTTACCAAATCGTCGCTGTGCCCTAATTCTTCGTCAACCAGTTCTCTCACACAAATGTTTTCGCTTTAAATAAGTAAGTACTTATTTTTTACTATTCACTGTTTTTTCATATCAAGAGAGAAAATTCTTGCACATTGGTTCATTTAATTTTTGTTTAGTTGATTAATTTAAGTTTTTTTTTATTAAATTTATTGCATTAGTGGAAGAAATAGTTGCGTTTTCTGATAAAGAGGAAATAAAGGAAGTAAATAAAAGTTGTGATGATAGTTTAATTGCAATTGTTGCTTGTGATGAAGATGAAGAACCTAGAACTGGAACGGCATTTGGTTCCGAAGAAAATGTTACCCGATATTACACTAGTTATGCTAAACAAATGGGTTTTGGAGTTGGAAAAATAAGTTCGAAAAATAGTGATGATGGAAAGAAATACTTTACTCTAGCATGTAATTGTGCAAGGAAGTATGTGAGCACTTCAACGAATCCTTCGAAGCAATATCTTACCTTGAAAACACAATGTAGAGCTAGGTTGAATGCGTGTATAGCTTTAGATGGAACTATTACTGTTTGAGTTGTTCTTGAACATAATCACGAATTGGGTCAAACCAAAGGACAGTATTTTAGATTGGATGAGAATTTGGGGCCTTGTGTAGAGAGAAATTTAGAATTTAACAATCAAGGTGCAGTCAATGTTAGCAGAAGTGTTCAATCTGTGGGTGTTGAAATGAATGGGTGTGAGAATCTTACTTTTGGAGAAAAAGATTGTAGAAACCATGTACACAAAGTAAGGCGGCTAAAACTTGGGAGAGGAGATGTTGATGCGATTCATAGCTTTTTTTTTAGAATGCAAAAGCAAAATAGTCGGTTTTATTATGCAATTGATATGGATGATAAAAGGAATTTACAAAATTTATTTTGGGCAGATGTGAGGTGTAGGGCTGCATATTAGTATTTTGGTGAAGTCATAACTTTTGACACTACTTTTTTAAGAAATAAGTATGACTTGTCGTTGACCCTTTTCGTTGGAGTGAACCATCATGTCCAATCTATTTTGTTGGGGTGTGCAATATTGTCGAATATGGATACTAAGACTCTTACTTGGTTGTTCACAAGATGGTTGGAATGTATGCATGGACATGCTCTGAATGGCATAATTACTGATGATGATAAAGCAATGAAAAATGCAATTGAGGTTGCCTTTCCAAAAGCTCGTCATCGTGGCATATAGTGACAAAGGTCCCTGAAATGTTGGGTAAACACTCTTATTGTGAGTCTATCAAAACACTTATGCATGATGTGGTATATGATTCTCAAAGCAAAAGTGATTTCATGGAGAGGTGGGGAAATATGATAGAACATTACAAACTACATGATAATGAATGGCTAAAAGAGTTATTTGATGAGCGACGTCGTTGGGTTCCCGTGTATGTGAAAGATACGTTTTGGGTTGGAATGTCCACTACACAAAGGAAGGAAAGTATACTCATTTTTTGATGGTTACATAATTTCAAAGACAACATTGAAGAAATTTGTTGAACAGTATGGTGATGTATTGAATGATAAAATTGAAAAGGAAAGCATGACTGATTTTGATTCATTTAACACAACAATTGCATGTGTAAGTCATTTTGGCTTTGAGGTCCAATTTCAGAAAGCATTTACCAATTCAAAATTCAAAGAATTTCAAGTAGAAGTTTCTTCTATGATGTATTGTAATACTAGTTTTGAGAGATTGGAGGACTTGAATTCAATATTCTCTGTTACTGAAAATAAGAAAGTAATGAGAAAATTAAAGATATGGTGTTTAAGGTATCTTTCTATGAAAAAGATTTCAAATTGCAGTGTACATGTTGCTTATTTGAGTTTAAAGGAATTTTATGTAGGCACATTCTTTGTGTGCTTAAGCTTGTTGGCTAAACTGATTCAGTGCCACCTTATTATATCTTATCACGGTGGAGGAAGTATGTAAAGCGGAGATATACACTGATTAAACGTGGTTTTGAAGAATTGCAATGTGTTAATAAAGCATGTGATGCCTTTTACGAAGTTGCTTCTACAAGCATAAACTCTGAAGATGATTTACGGAAAATGATGAATTAGATCAAGGAATTGAAAAATGTATTAACTTGTAAAGGGCTGTCCTCTAGGATTACAGAGGAACATAGTTCAATTCCAGACCATGTAACTAGGATTCTTGACTCAGCACTAACTCAAAGTAATGGGTGTCTTCCTTCCAAAAGGAAGACATCAGACATTGATCAAATTTGAAGAAGAAGCTTGCAAGAAATAAAACTCAAAAGAACAACCAGGAAAACAAAAAGGGTCAAAGTCAAGAAGAGGTAATCTCGAAATTCGCAAATTTACTTTTGATAGTTAAACACAAGAACTATATGTGTATGTGTATTAATATTACAACATAATAAATAAATCTCTAACTTTGGATTTTTTTATGGCAGGGCTTGTGTACACCTGTTGTTCAAGAAGTTGAAGAACATCTTGGCGATATAAGCCAGGTGATGAAAATATAGGACCCAGTGCTTTTTATTTTTATCTGAACCCTTATATTGTGGAAATAGCTGATGTAATAATATATTTGTTTTGTAGGTTTCATATTGTCCTCAAACCATAAGCCATAATGGTTCCTGCTCTGAACTTGTTCAGGTCTTGATTATTTCTTGTGGTAACATGGTAAAATTTTAATATGAAATCAGTAACTTTTTTGCCCATGTGTTTTTTTTTTTTTTGCAGGCACAACACAATAGGAATGATCAACCATCATCGCAAAGACATAGATCAGCCACTACTTTGGGCATGCCAATTTTAGTTGTTCCTTGTTAAAGCACGTGGATTGCTTTTGCAAATATTTAGATTTTTGTTGTATCATAGTAGGTAAAGTTAGAACGGTTGGTTTTGACTTCTTTGATGTTTGATAAGTAATCGTATTGAAACTTGAAGGCTTATAAAGTATCTATTTTCATTATATTTAACATTCAAATATGACAACAACGTAAATACAATGGCAATTTGTGCATGGCGTGCACAAAAATTCTATCTTATATATAAACAATAGCTACGTTAAAATATTCCTCTGTCTTCTACATGAATGAGTTTTATTACAATGATTCTGTCTTCTATATGAATGAGTTGTGTGGCTTGTTGGTGGAAACAGAGAACCTTCATCCCAACTAGGCGTGCTTGCTTGGTAATGCTCTCTTGCTCAGGATCATGTAATATTGTTCAGGTATACAAAATTAGAATGATTGGATTACTGCTTTTTATGAATATGATTGTACTGCATGCTCTATTGTGATAAAGAGATAGGATCTTATGTGGTATTAAATTTTATACCTTATCAAAAGGAACCACCTATATTAATACCATCCTTTATAACAAAAAGCCAAAGCATGTCTGGAAAAGAATAGTTCCTCATAGTGTGTAAAAAGATAGCTATGCAAACGTATTTCCTCTACAGCACGGTGGTAATACTACCTCAATGACTCGTCTGACTTTTGAAAGCCAATATCCAAACATTTAATTTCAACTTAGATGCAACTCATGTAGTCAGTTATTGAAGGAAATTTCCAAGTAGCTTTAGGTCCAACACCATTTCTAGAGCCTGCATAAAAGAACCTACTAGTTGTGAGAGAAGAGAGGTATATTGTTGATAACTTGTTTGCTTCATTTCCTCTTGTTCCACATGAAATTGCAAGACCCATGAGTAAAAGTTGTAAGAAACACTATGAAGTAATAATTCTGCTCACCAAATTATTTTCTTGCAGGATCCTGGAAAAAGTTCTACTTATCATTCTTAGTTTTGTTCTAACTAATGAAAAGAGATGAAACCATTGAAGAGCAGAAAGAGAACGTTTAGTTCTTAAAAATAGAAGCAGAACTATCCCTTTGAGGTTGGCATCTATATTATGAATATGTGTGGATTAAAATGTCAACATATAAATAGGGGATCAAGTCACTCTCGTAGTATCTCTTGGTAGAATCACTCCATTCAATAATATGTCATATTGTAATCATTAGATTTCACAATCCACAAGTTGAATTTAAAGTTCAAGTCTACGAGTACATATTTAGCACAAATGAGATTGAAATAAATATTAGGCTTGCAAACCATAATAGGCTATGACCTTATTTTTATCTGCACTCAATTACCTATATTAGATATTAGTTACTAGTTACTTAACACGACACTTTACCAACACCAGCTTACTAATCAACATTCTTTTGACAAACCCTTTCTCAATAATCATATTCTTAATTTCTTCTCATGGTTGTGGCTCTGATCTTCTTCCCAACGCGGTGAATGAAGTCCTGAAAATGGTCTTCACGGCTTTCATTTTTGCCAGCAGTAGTGGTACCATGTTGGACTTCATGATCTGGTGCAGCTGTAGTGTTATTCTGACCCCGACCGATAGTCGACACGGTTCTGATTTTCTTCTTAGCTCGTTGAATGAACTCTCTGTAAGTGTCATTAATATCCACTGATTCCTTACCTTGTTGATTACCATGGTGTGCCACTGCTTTGTTGGGAGCATGGTGTTGTTGAGGTAATTGTAGTTCACTCTTGGCAGAAACTTTTGTTGCTCTTTCTGAATTTCCAACAAGAGTTGAAGCACCTTTTGCTACACTTGAAACTGCTGATGAGTGTCCTTTCTCTTTGTATGTAGGTGTTGAATAACCAGACTTGATATGGGTTGGTTCTGATGATGTTTCTGTTTGAGCCTTGTGATGTGGTTTTGTTTGGACAACACTACTCTTAGGACTTGATGATGGATAATTTGAACCATGGGTGATTTGTTTGTGTTCTTGATTGATGCTTGAGAGTCGTTGAATTGCTCGGAGAGCAGGATTGCTTGCAAAGACATGTCGGATTTTGGTGCACACAGAAGAATTTGATGAACTGTTGTTGTTTTCCATAGAATTTGTTTACTAAAAAAGAAGCTTAAAACTAAGAAGATGATTTTGGTGCCCACTGAAGATTGGTTTAATGTTAATGTTATATAGTGTTTATCCAAGTGTGAAAAGGAAAGATGGAAAGCAAGAATATTTTGAAAATGTGAATTCTAAGAATGCCCTTACAAATGTGGTTAAAGAATAAAAAAAAAGTAAGTTTGTTTGAGAAAACTCTATTTTTTACATTGAAAAATGTTTAACTTATTCTCAAGATAAACTTTCCTTTGATTGGTAGCACCCACTAATGAGGTTGCTTTTTCTTAATTTATTGGCATTTGTTTGTCCATAGGAAAAAGAATGGTAGAAAATGAAACCTGAGAGCTTTTCAGAGTTCTTGAATGGTACAGGATTCGACAAGGAGTCTTATAGCTAAACATATCCAAGCTGCAAGAATCTCTTATTACGGAAGCTTGTTGCTTTGCATGCAAGAAACGTGATGTCTTGGTCAATGTCTAGTTAAGAATAGAGGCTTTTGTTGTTTTGTTGGTGAAAAATAACATCCATGAAATACCAAAAAGTAGAAAAATAATCTTAGTGTTTTATTGATATGCTAATCCTCACCAGGGATAGATTTAGGTGTTATTTAATTGTTTGTTGAGTAAATATTTAATAACTTTATAATAATATCATTAAATATTAATTATTACCCTATTAAGTTTGATATATTATTTTGAAATCTCTAATTGATTTTGGTCAACAAAATATTAAAATTATTTATAAAGCTTATAACAAAGTTTATTGTAGTAATTTTAAAATATATTTAAATTATTTTATTTGTCATTCTTATTTATTTACTCAAACAAATACAAAAATCTCAATGATTTTATAAAACTTTGCAACTTCTATTATTTTTATCGATATGGAAAAGAATCTTTTAAAAAAATATGATAATAATATTATCATTGTTAATCAAATTTACTTTTATATAAAATTATAGTAAAAAACTTGCCTCCAATAATTAGAATTTCTTGATTTGTCATTGGGCTTCACCATAGCAAAATTGATGTCCTCATCACACACGATTGTTTAAGGTGGATAATTTTTCTACTACAACAAAGCTACTTTATGTTTTTTTTACAAATATAAGATTGAATAAATATATATTATACAATATTGCAAAAAAAATAATATATATATATATATATATATATATATATATATATATATATATATATATATATATATATATATATATATATATATATATATATATATATATATATATATATATATATATATATATATATATATATATATATATATATATATATATATATATATATATATATATATATATATATATATATATATATATATATATATATATATATATATATATATATATATATATATAAAATTTGATAATATTAACATATGTATATAAGTTACAAAATATAAAAATATATGAGGTGTAAGAACTCTTTACCTAACTCATTAATAATATTTAATAATACGTAGTTTAATGTATTTCGGATGGAAATCATGTACAAAGTTAGGCCACTAAAAAAAGAGAGAAAAATATTCATGAAGAATACAACCTATACAATGTGATCAATTATATTAAAATTTATATTTATGATAAAATGTTACTCTATTTTTTTTAGTCCATATTCTTTGATATTTGATGTTCTTTTAAAATTTTTTTAGAAAATATGATATAAAATTATAAATACGGTAACATATTAAAAAATAATTTTAGTCTATATTCTTTAATGTTTAGAGATGCATCTTCGAACACATTTTTTTCTATTATTTTTCAGTCTAAATTGAAGAGGCGTCCTTATTATGTAAAAAATTACTCTGAAGATGCATCTCTGTATGTAAAAAAATGCGTTTGAAGATATATTTTCGTACACACCATTTATTCAAAAACACATTGATTGTTCGGAGATACATCTCAGGCTGCTTTATTTCATTAATCAGTGCCAGAACCTTTCCTTCATCTTCCTCATTCTTCGTTTTCTAAAAAAAAGAATCCACTAGACCTTTCCCTCTCACAAACATTGCATTAAATCCTTGAAGCATTGCATTGAAGCATCAAAGGAGTTTTTTCTCCTCATTTCCATCATCTCATAATATCGAAACAACTCCTTCTCATCAATTAATTTCATTTTGGTAAGTTTTTCAATTTTTTTCTTCATGTTTTGATTTGTAGTTAGTTTTTTAGGATGCATTAGTTGTGTTAGGTACATTAGGTAGTAGTGTAAACTAAATAGATAGTCTATTAGAACATGTAATGAGGATTTTTGGGTCTGGGCAATGAGGATTTTTCGGAGATGCATCTTCAAAAATTTTCTGAACAGTTTTTCAGAGATGCATCTTCGGATTGAGCTTAGTCAAAAAATTGGAGGATTTAACGGACATGCTATTTAAATATTTTTGTGTTTATAAGGAAAGTGAAATGGCTGACAACAATGAAGGTAGGGTTAGGGTTGGACGTGTGTGTTAGGGTTGGATGTGTGTCCCAAATTGTGTCAGTACGATGTGAAAGGGCCGCTTCCAGGACCATGAGACCACGAGTTACTAATGACTCATTTGATGCTTTATCTTCTTCACAATCCCGATCATTTGGTTCTTGTAGCCGACTCTCTCAGGCATCTCAAGCAACATAACCTGGAGATCTGGAGGACATTGTCGACCCTAGAGTCGAGGAGGAAGCCCCGTTAGAGAGTTATCCAGGAGGGCCATATGATACCTCCTAACTTTATGGTGATCATTTGAATGGGGATAAGGACTCTGAGGGTGATGGGAATTAGGTTGAGTACCACTGACATTGCGCATTGAGGTGTTACCTCATGTTCTTGGTTGACATATCCATGTTTATGGAAAAAAGTTCTACATATGTCGATATCGTATACCTCAAGTACTTCACAGAGATGACTGTAATTCACGAGTACAATTGAGGGGTCGCCTGTTTGGTATACCTGTTGTTCTACCCTAAAATTTGCCCTCCCATTTTTCATGCAAGATACTTTCCTAGGGTTTCTCGAATATCCAATTTGGCTCAAAAAGTTGATCAGGCAGATTCTCTTCCTAGGCGGCAAATCAACAATTAGGGTTTGGTATTTCTCAGAGAAAATCGAGTTTTCAAGGTTTCAAATGGTCTTCGTAGGTATTCCCGTCTCCTCAAGGATGTTTATGCCAGTTCTCAAACTTTGCATTGTAAGTTTGCTTAGTCGATGGCTCAGATAACTGAAAACAACTACATTGACCAAAAAATCGACCTTTTTGCGAGAGCGAATTCAAATGACTGTAACTTCTTCATTATTCAATATTTTCGAGCGGTTCTTTTTGCGTATGATTCTCCTTGATGTCATCTCCAATTTCTCTTCACAAATCAAGAGTTGATTACGTGTAGAAGATCACCAAAATTTGAATACGTTAGAAGTCGCATCATGGACTTTGACCTAATCTTAAGTAACTGTCGCCTGATTTCTAAGAATTGTCATTCCCTCAAATTACAATATCTTGGGACGATTATTTCTGCATATGGTCATAGGTGATGTCGCTCACGAGTTTATCCTCAAAGATTGGAAAAAAATTGTGTTTGGAGGACTTTGAAAGTTATCTAATCGTCGCAAGTCATTTGTTTGATTTTGAATGTTCTTAACCACAATTTGTTTTTCTCAGGACTATGTTTCTCAGGTTGAAGTTTGTAAATTCTACAAGATTTATGAATTTTCTTAAGGCATGTTTGTTTTGGCAATGAAGTTCCATTTTAATCGAGTATGGCGTGCGAGTTCATTTTGAATGCAAATTTGATTTGGACAAGATGTGAAGATTAAGACTTTCATTTAAACGACCATAGTTTTGGGTTCGAGTTAACCAAGTGGAATTGGATTCTTAAACATTCATTTTGTTTAGAAATTTGATTGGAGTACAAGACGCATTGTTTATTTGATCATTTGTGATTGCTTGAAGTTCAAGTTACCAAGTCAACATGTATTTTTCAAACCATTCAAATGGAGAATTTCAAAATTCAAACAAAGTTCAAGATTCGTACAATGAATTTCATCATTTACAATCTTTCTCAAGGTTTTATGTTCATTACACTACAAATGAAATAATTACAAATTTTGTTTTGTTTACAAAGAAAGAAGTTTTGTTTTGTTTCTTCAAGTCTTCGTTGCTTCATCTTCAAGAAATCCATCAAATCCTTGCTAGCCATGATTTTATCTTCACCTTGCCTCGCTTGTCATACATGAAACAAAATCAAGAAAGAATTAGTGATTAAATAAATTCAAAGTAGACAAAATTACAATTGATTGGAAATTCATCATTAGGGTGGTTCTTGGAATCAGAAAAAGAAAGAGTTTGTTTATGTGCTAAGGCTTCAAATTTTCAGTTTTATCATGGACCAAATTTCTATTGAAAATCTCAAAGGAATTGGTTCACAATAGATTAAAAGGTGCAAATAGAATTTCAAGTCCAACACAATTCAAATCCAACAGAATTCAGCCCAACATAAGTTCAGGACCAAAAGTCAAGCCTCATACATGTTGTTTCAATAAAAGTCATATTTACATCATTGGCTAGGAAGGAGTCTTTTGCGAATCTCAATATTTGGTTCACAAAAGATAAAGAGGAAATCAAGAAAAGTCATAACTAGCATCACAGGAAAATACCAATCCATCAAGCAAACAAAAAGCCTCATAATCATGTGGTCTCAATAAAAACTCAGAGATGTAATGTCAAAATCATAGGCCAAAGATAATAGTATTGAAAAATCTCAAAAGACAATGTTTTGGATTACAGAAAATCAAAGCGGCAAGCCAAGGCCAAAAGTAAACCAGCAAAAGTACAGAAACCTGTACAAAGTCTAAAAGCAACAAGCAACCGGCCAACAATAAGCAACAAGTATAGCAAAAGTACCAGAGTTCAGAAAATCAGAAGAAAATATGATAAGTCTAACAACACAGCAAGCAAAGTCAGAAGCAACAAAAAGCAAGTTTCCCTCAAGTCTG